AGCGTGCTGAGATGCCACCAAAATGTTCAGAAGTATGGCAAAAGTAAGCCTGTGGCATCTGGTGGCATTTTACACAACTGAAAGCATCTATTCACATGATGGGTATCAAAGGAAGTAGGGAAAAAAGGTATCATATAAAGTACTCTTTTGGTAGTGATATCACTTTAAGGGTACTGTTATTACCTCCACCAAGGAGGTTATGTTTTCGCCGGCGCTGGTCTGTTTGTCTGCAAAATAACTCAAAAAGTTCTGAATGGATTTTGATGAAAATTTCAGGAAGGGCTGATAATGGCACAAGGAACAGATGATAAAATTTTGGTGGTGATCGGCTGAAGCAAAGTGGATAAAATTATTAAAACGGTGGGAAATCTGAGCTGCTTGGCGGAGGTCTGCACTCTCTGAGTGCTCTTGTTGGTACTGATATCATGATTTTTTTTAAACAATACCCAGCCCTACAGATCAATATCTCGGCATGGCTGATCTATTGACCAGTTTTAGCTTATCACAGATCTATCAGAATCTCTGTACTTGTTCACTGATGAATAACAAGAAATTGCAATACAATAATGACAAATACATGGTTGAGATCATTTAGAAGTTGTGTCTTGTTTTGATTTTTTTTGAATACTCTTATATCTTTCTATATTGACATTAGCCTCAAAAATCAAGTTTTGGTGGAGGTCTATCCAGAACTCTACCATCTCACCTGGGACCATAACTTCATATGTTCGCATTTTAAGGTTGAACTGTGAAAATGATTGACTGACTAGCGCACAATGAAGGCAGCAACTGAAATAATCAAACAACTGCTTCACACAGCTCACCATCTTTTCTAACACCTGGTTTCTGAGAGAAGGACAGCTCCCTGAGTGGAGGGACAGACCATTTCAGTGACAGGCAGCCTAGTGATCAAGAATAGCAGATTCTGCTCTTTAAAACTTGCCTCACTTCTCCTCTAAAGGACTGCTCAATTCAATTAAGCCTCTGAGCAGGCAGACTACTGTCACTTTGTCCTGAGATCCTGGATGTAAATATGTGACAGCTGCACTATGCTGTTGTAATGTAATGAAACTTCATCCTCAGCCACACTAGCTGTGTGACAATAAAAGACATACCTCATGTTGAATGGAGCCATCAATCGGACCACATACTGACGATCTTTAGGGAGTTTAAGTTTTGGGATTTTGGATGGATCAAAATCCGGGGGGTAATATTTCTGTGGAAGAAAAAACACAGATGTGAATAACTGCAAAGCTGGACCTTGTAAAAATAATAATATTAATAACAGAGACATAATCAGCTTTATTGGCCAGATAAGTGTGTACTTGTTACACTTAATTCACAGACATAACAGCTAAAAACAAAGACAAAACAACTGAACCAGGTAAACATAAACAACAACACAATTAAATGTAAAGAATGCTGGAATAAATATGATGTTATTAATGCAACAGATTGATTTAAATACACGAGGAAGCTAGAATTGGCAGTACAAAGCCTGCTTATATTCATATGGCATGTCATTATTGATATTTACATATTAAAAACAGGTTGTTTAAATTATACAGTGATACAACCCATAAGTGCAGTGAAGCACAGTGGATGTTGGTGTTACAAGGTGAACATTATATGACAGATGTTAACTATTCGTGACAATGTGTTAGTAGTAAATATTGTTTTCTACATACAGAAATCGTGGCTAACACTTAACGTACTTTAGACGTCGCAGTTGAATGAAACAAACGTACTAGCACCACACTTAGCTTCAAAGCTAGCTAGCTAGCTAGCTAACGTTAGCCTGCTCGGGTTCTTAAAGCTCATACGGCTAACTGTTTCAAAAAAAGAGGCACATTGTTCTTATACTTACATTTAATACTTTTCTCTCGGACATTGTTGTTTGTGCCGGAAACCAGACGTGGAGAAAGAAACGCTAAAATAGTAACACTGAGAGCTGTTCCCACAACACTGCTAACCGCGTGTTAGCTTCACCGTACACTTCCGGTTGCCTTCCTATTATTTCCCGAGCGTCAGAGCACTTTAAAGTGTGCTGCTGCCCCCCTGCGGCAGGGGTGAGTACTTACAATAACACACGAGAAAGGACAATGATGAAATCAGACAAATAGAGACAATTATAGGGAGGTGAAAATAAACTGTGTATTATTACAAGTATTTACTTGTCTCTGAGAAGCTCTCCTTTGTCAGGTTCAAGTTAATAGGCCACTGATTTACAGTTTCTCCTCTGATTCTCCCCTCTTAGATGACACTGAGAATGGTTGACCATCAGTGTTGGAGAGTTACATGTAGGCTGATTAAATTACAAACTAAATGTAATAGGAATCTGTTATGGTTACTGAGAAAAAATATGTAATTACACTACAGTTACTAATCAAAATGTTGGTGATTACAAAGGGGTTACATCCAGATATATCCTTTTTAGTATCTTTGTTTCTTTTCCTTGTACAGAAATGCTGTCTTTTAGCATGACGTACATCCAGACATTTTTCAGCTTTACTGCCAATTTTAAAAAGATATGTTTTTTTTTTTTTAAAAAAAGTAATCAAATGTAATAATAACTCACATTTTTTGATGTAGTAATTGATGCAGGACAACACCTGTTCCACTCAGCTTGGTCTTGGCAAGGTGCTGGACACATCAATAAGTACAAACTGGTAGAAAAAGATTTCCGTACACTCACATCTATGCAGTGTTTCACTTTATTGTTGAGTTTTCGGCCTAATTGACTGTCATCAGAGCTAAAGTTTTGTCCCTACATGTATGAGAAACTCTTTTGAGGTGAAGATGGACTTACTCCATTTCTTTAGAAAGATTAAACTGAAACATGTGTTTGGCAACTCTGATACAAAGGTCTGAAAACCTGTATTTAAGCCTAAAAGCACATTTATGCCTATAACCACAAATCCCTCTATCCAAACTTTTGGTAAGTTAGTTGAGCAAGAAGCCCTTGACTTATTGAAATATAAACCCGCTCATGCTCTGATGAAGTAATTACAATAGCTGCATAATGTATTACATTTTGACAGGGTAACTAGTCATCTGTAACTTCTCACATTTTAAAGTAACCCTCCCAACACTGTTGACCATACTACCACCCCATGGCCTAATATTCCTCTATGAGCGGCTGTGGAAAGCAATGGAATATTAAAGTACAGACTCTTTGGGATGTAATCTAAGAGGAAAAGAATCACACTGAAACTCAAAGTCTATGTTTGTTAATTGTTTAATTATTTTGATTCCCACCAGCTCAACAGCGACTCTTTCTGTGGTCCATTAAAACAAATATTAATATGGCAGTTTCAAGTATTATATATGTACAAACAAGAGAAAACACATGCATATATATACATATACTCGTGTTAAATAAGACAAAAGTATATTTTAGTAATCTTTATTCATTCCATATGTCCATGTAAATTACTGTATTTTCACTGATCATGTCAATAACTGAGCATTTTAACCAATTAATAACTTACAGCAAAGTTCCAGCAGCTAAGGCTTTATCTGCATATTCTGACACACTTCATTAAACCAACATCACATGTACATGGAGTGAAATATTACAATTCAATGTGTCGTTTTTAATGGCTACTACTGTTGAATGGACAGATGCCTTGTGCATATTTTCAAACACTTTTATTTGTGATAAATTGTGCTGAAAGTCACACTAATACACACACATTTCAGAATATTCATTTATTTGAAAGTGTATGAATATGTTGAAATGATACAGGCTATTTGTAATTTTAGAGTAAATAACACCAGAATTCCTGAAGTTACTGGAAGATATAAAGGGCTGGACAGAAACCAGAGGATCTGCGACCTCTGTGGTGATAATGACGTGGGAGATGAGCATCATATTTTGTTTGAATGTGCAAATGTGAGCTTAATGACTTACAGAAAAAGTTTAAATTAATTTTGTTATTACAATCAGATAACCCAAAAGTCATTTGTAAACTAGGTGCTTTTTTGAAGAATGTCCTTCCTCTGTTTAAGTAACACTGGCTGTACTTTAGCCACACCATGTGACATGGTCGTGAGTCAAATAAATGAAAATAAAAAGATGACATATTAAGTTCAATATTGTGCCAAACACTCCAAAACCAGACTTTTAAACATACACTTTTCTATTGCATTTATTGAGCCTGGATGAGTCACAGGCTTTATATATATTGACCACAGCTCCTCATTCCTGCCTCAGCCTTGTCTCTTTAGGAGACAGTGGAGGAGATCGTGATCAACGTGATGGTGGAGGAATGGCCTCTCAGGGGTAATGTGAATTGTCAGTGACATGGGGTCACTGACACACACACACACACCCACACACACACACGTGGGGGTGGTTAAGGTTATTCCTACAAAAGGAAATTGGATCCTGATTACAGATTGGTGTCAATGTGGGTTAACCTGAGGTCTGACTGCAGCTTTATTGAACAGAGGTGACATGATGAGAGCAGAGGCGTGAGGCAGAATCGATTAGCAGCAACACATGGAGGGGAAAGGGTTTATGTTTACAGGAGTTGAGAGTATGATATTATATTTTAGATTAAAACCAGGCAGCGTCCTGTCTCATTGGATTTGACAGTTCACTTTTTGCTGTGATAGTTTTATGTTGTGTGTGTGGTGAGTTGTGACACATGAAAATGACTCATGAATGAGTCACAAGTACGTTTAACTGCATACAACAGGCCATAGATTAAGATTGGACATTAGACTGGATGATACAAGTTTGATCCCCACTCAGCCACCAAATATGTTTTATGAAATGTGAATCCACCTTTCACCGTCTTTGATTTCCTCCACAGATACAAAGGTGCTGAGCAGTGTGACCCGTGTCACAATGTTCCATGAATATTTCAGAGGCTGGCTGATGTCAACGGGAGCTGTAAAGCGTCTATAAAGAGGGGGCTCCTCTCTGTGCAGAGGACCTCCAAACACCCGCCTCCGCAGAAGCACCACTTTTATCCACCCGCCGAAGAGAAGGACTCGTCCGTGTTCGTGTGTCAGCACCATGGTCAGCACTCGGGCTCTCCTCCTCGCGGTCACCTGCTGCTACGCCTACCTGTGGCTCGCTCGCGCAGAGGACTCCTCACTGGAGACGCGCTCGTTGGATTTCCCGCTGAAAACCCAACAGGAGAAGGACCTGGTGAGAGATATATCAGGGCTGTGCTTTGAACGATAATATAAAATGTATTAGTTAGGGGAAGTGACTCTCATGTTTAACTTTAATTAGTCTCCACAAAAAAAATGGACAAATCATGTCAAGTTTTAATACCAAAATTTACTTGATCAATATTTAACTTTCTGGAATTTTATTCTCGGCAGATCGACGCGTTGCAAGAAGTTCTGGAGAAGCTGCGGAGCAAAGAGATGCCCTCAGAGAAAAAGCTTGGATGGCTGCCTTCTGTATGTATTTAAATTCTTTTAAAGCATCGTTTTATCAGCTAAAGTCTCTATTTTTGAGATACTGTCTAAATCTATAACATCTGGAAATGTGCTGACTTTTTTGGAGATGAGATTTTTCGTCTTTCGGAGTATTTAAATAAGCCTTTCCTCTGTTAAAATCGGAGCATACGCGTACCTGTCCAATTATATTCCTGACCTTTACTTTACTACTGACACTGTCTTTGATTAAAAAAAACTGTACAACCTATATCAAGATTAATTTATGTTGTTTTACCGTTCCAGTGTGACGCAGGGGAGCCGTGCGCCGTGCGTAAAGGCGCGCGTATTGGCACGCTATGCAGCTGTCCCCGGGGAACTGCCTGTAACTTTTATGTCCTCAAATGTTTGTGAAGAAAAAGAGAAGAAAGAAAAAACAAGAAAGAGAGAGTTCAGGGCTTTGGAGTCACAAAATCTACTGTTATCCTCTGTGTGACAAAAAAAATAAATGTAACATGTGATTAATAAAGGACGCTTTTCTTTTATAAACGTGGACCGGAAGTTGTTAGAATAATAGATTTTAATGTCTGTGTGCATCTGTATCTTCTTATTTGTCCGCCAGGGAAGTTATTTGTGTGGGGCTGTGGCATTTTGTGAAAGACTCTGAATGCAAGTTTTGTCCTAAATAATTTTTCCTCTTGGGTTTTGTTTGTTGTTGTTCCTGTTATGGGGGGGAGATAGTGAAGCTATCTATAGCACCAGGTTCAAAACTCTTTTGTAAGATAAGGAGGTCAATAAATTAACAACTTATATTCAAGTGTCTGTGTGTCTGTTGCACTATTAGAGGTTTGATCCAGTATTATCCAGGATGGTCTGGTCCCATCCTACATCGCAGACCTCCAATCCACCTATTCTACACTCAAGTCCCTTAAATTATACAACATAATACAATGATACATATAATTAAGGGGTTTTATCCAGTATTATCCAGGATGGTCTGACCCCATCCCACATCACAGACCACCTAACCCCCTATTCTATGTGTAGGTCCCTCAAAATTATATAACATAATATAATAATACATATAATCAAGGGGTTTTAGCCAGTATTGTCCAAGATGGTCTGATCCCATCCTACATTGCGACCTCTTAACCCCCTATTCTACGCCCAGGTCCCTCAAAATTATACAACATAATATAATGATACATATCATTAAGGGGTTTTATCCAGTATTATCCAGGATGGTCTGATCCCATCCTACATCGCAAACCTCCTAACCCCCTATTCTACGCCCAGGTCACTCAAAATTATACAACATAAAATAATGATACATATAATTAAGAGGTTTGATCCAGTATTATCCAGGATGGTCTGATCCCATCCTACATCGCAGACCTCCTAACCCCCTGTTATCCAAGATGGTCTGGCCCTATCCCACATCGCAGACCTCCTGACCTCCATTTCTACGCCAAGGTCACTCAAAGTTACACAACATTATATAATGATACATATGATTAAGGGGTTTTATCCGGTATTATCCAGGATGGTCTGACCCCATCCTACATCGCAGACCTCCTAACCCCCTGTTATCCAGGATGGCCTGGCCCCATCCTACATCACCGACCTCTTAACCCCCTATTCTACACCCAGGTCCCTCAAAATTACACAACATAACATAATGATACATATCATTAAAGGGTTTTATCCAGTATTATCCAGGATGGTCTGATCCCATCCTACATCGCAGACCTCCTAACCCCCTATTCTACGCCCAGGTCACTCAAAATTATACAACATTATATAGTGATACATATCATTAAAGGGTTTTATCCAGTAGTGTCCAGGATGGTCTGACCCCATCCTACACTGCAGACTTCCTAACCCCCTGTTATCCAAGATGGTCTGGCCCTATCCTACATCACAAACCTCCTAACCTCCATTTCTATGCCAAGGTCACTCAAAGTTACACAACATTAAGGGGTTTTATCCAGTATTATCCAGGATGGTCTGATCCCATCCTACATCGCAAACCTCCTAACCCCCTATTCTACGCCCAGGTCACTCAAAATTATACAACATAAAATAATGACACATATCATTAAAGGGTTTTATCCAGTATTATCCAGGATGGTCTGACCCCATCCTACATCGCAGAGCTCCTAACCCCCTGTTATCCAGGATGGTCTGACCCCATCCTACATCGCAGACCTCCTAACCCCCTATGCCAAGGTCCCTCAGGTCAGCTGACCTGGGGCTCCTGGCTGTCCTACGCTCCAGACTCAAGCTCACAGCAAGTGTCTGACCCCAAACTGTGGAACAGCATCCTTTCCTCCAGTCATGTTGCCTCTCATGTGTTTTTAGCATTTTATTCCTCCTGCGCATCACTTTGGTCAACATGAGTTGTTTTATAGATAAATTTGAGTTGCACCACCTCACTTTCCACAAACATCACTTGTTGGCCAGTTGCTTCTGATTTAAATACAGCACTAAAACACTTAAGGCACAATAAAGAAAAATCCATTTGCCACGTGTCATCAATAATGCATCCTCTTCCTACACATCCACTAATGCACAAAGCTGCATTCCAGCACACCAGCTGTCATCTCACTGTTATAAAAGGCGCTGTCAGGCTTTTTCAATGACATCACATCCAAGTGCAAGTTTCCAACATGGCGTCCAGCCGGGTGCCGGAGAGGGAGGTCCAGGAGGAGCCGAGACGCGCTGCGACCGCAAACCCCGACTTGTGCCTCCACAAATACTCCCTGCTCATCATTATAGGACGGACCGCTCACCTCAGACAGACGGGACACATCAGCAGGGAGATTGAACGAGGTACGTTTGCGTCAACGCCTCTTGCAGCCTGCTGTATGTCGCTTTGCTTTTCTTAATATACATTTGGATAAATAAAACAGACGCAAGTTTTCATCGCCTAAAATCACCAGCGAGGATGCTACACTGACCCCCATTGCAGTGTTTATGTAATTTTATCCACCCTACTGACCGAGGATGCGTCATCTGGCGATACTCCACCATCAGCATCATCTCAGCCCTGTGGGCACAGTATAATTAAAAGCAGTCTGGAGCGGGTGGTTTGTCTTTCGCCTCACTGTATGGTTACGTAAGGAGAAGCTTTGGGTAAATGTTGCAGGGCGGATATTCAGTCAACACACAGCCACTTGTAAACGACGTGCCTTTAACCTTTGTGTGTTCCCACTGTAGCAGCACTGTAACTGTGCAGACTGCAGGTAGTAGACAGTACATGGCACACAGTACAGCCTGTCTTTCACTGGGAGTACAGCTGCAGGACATTTGAATGCAGGCAATTTATGTAAAACATCGCATGGCTGTGAGATAGATAAGAGGACAGAAACAGAAACACGAGCACAGATACAGAGGACAGAGATGTATTTATCGTTTTCTTTGGGCCTGTAAAGATTTCATCAGTCTGGTGGAAACCATGTGCCTCGAAAATGTCAGCTTATCATGAGATATGTTAAACAGCCCTGTTTCTGCTGTGTGACTTTGCATTTTTTAATCAATGTTTGTGTTTTGAAATTTATCTTAAGAGGAAGTAAAAACCATCATGTGTTTTCTTTCTTATTTGTTGTGTCCATAGTTGGAGATTGGTGCAGGGGACACATCTCCTTCAATATGTAGAACATTTGTCTCCCCCCAATAAAATGTAATAATAGAGGACTTTTATTTTGACAAAATTAAACACCATAAACTGCAAAAAAATGACCAGAATGCAGGAAATTATGTGTACGATGCTGAGTTTTTCCAGTGACAGACCCCCAACCTCCTTGTTTCATATATGTCCCCCCAAATGTTGAAACGAAACCTACGCCCTTGGCTGTGTCACACCCTCACTGTCCACTTAATTACACTGGAACAATCTAATGCAATCTAAAGCAACAGCTCTGCCATGAATTCTACTCTTACAAAGCTTATACATAATTCTACTTTAAGTCTCTTATAATTGTTTAGTTAGTGGTACATTTTTATTAAAATACATTCACCCAACTCTCCCCTTGCTGTTTTGTTTAAATAACAAGTTTTAGCCCCTAAACGTTGAAAAGATTTAGAGCCAAAATAACCATATCTTTGAATTTTGACAGAATTTTGACTATGACTACTATCTAGTCTCTGTAGTACACTTAAACACCAGTAAATACTCTGGTCCATTTGGGCATATCATATTTAATTTAATTTAATTTAATTTAATTTCAATGTTATTTTTTTTAAATTTTATTTTATATTTCATTTCATTTCATTTTATATTATTTCATTTTATTTTATTTAACAGGGACAGTGCACAGCTACTTAGCCATACCAGAGTTAGCTTTAAGCTAATATCATCCGTAGTCCCTGGGCAGGAAACACAGAATAATTATCTCTGCTAAAACACACTATTAGATTAAAAAAAAAAAAACAGTTACAAAATACAACATATTCATGACACAATGGCTTCGGTAATACTAACACAACATCAAGTCATCGCAACAATAACAGCAACAACAACAACAACAACAACATTAAAGCTACAACATTAAGATATAACAAGATTTTATAATGTTAGATCAAGTGTTTGAGTTAATGTGTGATCAGTACATGATTGGGTTGATTTGAGCTATGATTTCATCTTAAATTTAAAACCATCTTACATGGTACTGAGCTCCAATAGTCTGTAGCTCTAACAGAGCTTGTACTTACACTTGCAAAATCCAAAGCTGTTCAGTTTATAATGATGTATGATAAAGAAAAGCCTCAATATCTCACATTTAAAAAGCATAAAACCAGGAAATGTTTGACTTTTTTGCTTGAAAAAATTAATTAACAGTTACTTGATTATCAGAATAGTTGCCAATAATTTTCTGTCAACTGACTCATCGATAAATTGACTGATCATAGCAGCTCTGGTTGACGACAATAGACTTTTGGTCTTAAGCATATCTAACAAACCAAAATTTTTTCAGATTTCAGTCCCTGAAACAAATTCTTGTGCTGGCCTATATGTAAAATGAGTTATACCTACTATAATTCAATTTTCACATTCCAAGTTTATCACTTATTTTTGTTTGTTCTGTTAATATTTGGACACTAAAGTTGTTTATGACAAATTGTTGCCCCATGTGACGACATGTCTCTTATGTCTCCAGGTATTCGGTCATGGGATGTCGACTTAAAATCCTGTAACCTGAACCTTCATCTCCAAGAATTTCTCTCCCATCACACGGCTTCTTTTAAGGGTGCAGGTAAGTAACAGTGTGTTAATTTGACCCTTTATCGCACAGAGAGCCCCGTCCCCATGGTAACCCGCCAGTTTGGCTGGTCTCGGGTCAACGAGGAAGGAAGGAAGGAAAGTGGAGGAGCAGTCGGGTGATTGTTAAATATGGGTGGGCCCTTTGGACAGAAAACAATGGGGCTCTGCAGCCAAGCGGTGCCACCTCTCTTTCTGTGTGTGTTAACAGGCTCTCAGTGTGCAGAGCCAAGGACGAGCAGGGAAAATGGTAAAAGGCAGGCAAACAGCAGAGTCAGACAGTCGTGTTACAGCTGAGCTGTGAAGTGATTAACACAGACAGGAAGAGACACATCTCTTTGTTAGGGAGGACAAAATGGCAGCCAGAGAGGTTGCCCACATGTGATAGTGTTGTTAAAGACAGATTTATCGATACATATTGATTCTGAATATTTGAAACAGTCTCAATACTTGTTTTCCACAGTATCAATAAACCAGTACCAGCTGCGGTTTCTCGCTCTGTCTTATTGGAAATGTTCACTACAATCATTCTTCAATTCTCTGCTGATCACCACGAAAAGTTGCCAGTCATGTTACAGCCTTGTTATGTTTATCTTTTATTAAATGCCCTCAATGTCAATTTTTCCTGTGATATTGAAAATGGTATCAAATATCAATATTTTTCAAGGTACCGTAACAAAGAAATTCCAGTACGACCCGGTCTCACTCCGAAGTCGTCGAAATCCGACACTTGGGCAGCGACTTGTGGCATCAGACAGTGAGGGAAAAAGCTGTCCTTTAATGTCGGCATGATACGTGGCCAGCCGCCTTTATAGTTTAATGGCGCTCGGCAGCATCAGGGGGAAACATGGCGGGATAAGAACGAAAGTTAAGATGGTGAATGTTCGACTAGGGAGGGCGGTAGGGGTGCTGGATGGGTCCAACACACACCGACCTTCACCCAGGAGAGCGGTGTTCGCCTCAAACCCTGTCGTTTTTTTTGTTCTTGAAGAAAAAAAAATGTCAAGGAAGTCCCTTTATTTTGAAAGAGACAGTATGTAAATGGATAATTCCCTGTGTATTTTAAGAAAGACAATGTATGTAACAGGCAGAACTTGACACGGCACAGCAGAACATCAACAACCAAAGCACCCAGGGTACCTTGCACGTCGTATCTAGACATGGAAAGTCCATGACCAAATGTCAATATGTGACGAGGTCAGAGTGAGAATGTGTTGTCCAGTATTGTGACAGCACTAGCATGTGATAAATATTAGTGAATTATCTTTTATCTATGTACAGAGCCAACCCGTTGTCATCAATACCAATGCATTGTCTCACCCCTTGGCAACTCATAGTGACGCAAAGGCAGCACACAGTTAATGTTGTCAAAGGTTGCGCTTAGGTTTAGGCAACAAAACAACATGGTTACTTTGAGAAATAAGATCATGTTTTAGGTTGAAATAAGCACAGTTGTAATATAACGTAACGTGAATATGTCATGTGATCGGCGTCAGCGTTAAAACTACATAGACTTTTGGTTTCCCAACGGTCACGAACTGTGATGTCCTGGTTGAAAGTCTGGTTTTGTTTTACCCATCCAGTTCCACTCCCTCCCGCCCTACGCAGACTTTCTTGCTCTTTATACTACATCAGTTGCTCTCAGCATCAAGTATTACCTCGGATGGTTTACACTGGAGTTAGATGAAAGCGTGGTCCTTCTCATAAACACGCCAAAGGCTGACTTTGGCGTCAATATCACACGCTGAGGGATGTGACGAAGCGGCAGTACGTGAATCCCTGGCAGAGCTTACATGTAATCTTGGATGTCAGGGTTTTGTAAAATGGTGGGATCTGACGTTTTGTAAGAGATGGAGGGTTTGGGAAATATGCTTATTTGCTTTCTTGCTATGAGACAAGAAGGTTGATACCTTTATGGTAACTAAAACTAGAGCAAGCAACTTGTTACCTTAGCTTAGCATAAAGAAACAGGAGACCGCTAACCTGACCAGCACCCTTAAATTGGAATAATTAACATGTTATGTCTTATTCAATTTGTACCATAACTGAAAAACTGCACTTTTGTCACTGGTTCCTTAACAACTTCAGGGTGACAAGAACAGTCCACATAACTGCCCGTCAGTTTTAAATATGCATTTAGAGGCTGGTAGACAGATATTGTTACCTTTGGACAGAACCAGGCCAGCTGTTTCCCCCTGTTTCCAGTCTTTATGCTAAGCTAAGCTAACCGGCTGCTGGCTGTAGCTTCAAATTCAGTGTACAGACATGAGGGAGGAATTGACCTTCTCACCTAAGCCTCAGCAAGAAAACAAAACTATTTCACAAATCGTATTTATGCATTGAACTTGTGCATGCCCTGTAATTCAGCACAATAGCCAGCCAGGAATGGTCACCATATTCATCTCTAACTTGACCTACAGACAAAGAAACTTTTGTTCTTATTTGGGTCATTATGTTCCAGTTGGCTGTGTCCGCCTCTGCATCCTCAAACGTTGATCCAGTTCCCCTCAGACTGGATATTCGTCGCAGACTGAGTTAACTTGGCATTTCATCCTCAGACAGTCCCTCCGACTCAGCTGTTCCACTCTTCTTCCTTCCTCTTTTTTTCGCTGAGGGAGTCAATCACCCGCCCGGTTATCCCAGTTCACTTTCTCATCGACTTCTCCGAGCTCCCCTCCTATTTGCCTCTGGCCTCTCTCTCCCCGCTCAGATCCCTCGGCTTGTTTCCAGACTCCCTCAGCTCCGACCTTCCCCAGCTCTTGTTTGCTTCCCCTTGTCTGTCTGCCTGTCTGTCCTCCTCTTTCTACTCTGTTTTTCTCTCTGCGTCCTCAGGGCAGAAGTGTCTGCGCTACAGTACCAGAGTGTTGGACACTCAGGTGCTGATCAGTCCATCTCAGGAACAGGCTCATACAGAGGTGAGGGGAGAAGCCCTGGCTCCTTCAGGTGTCATGATGATGATGCGAGGGCTTTTTGTCCTTTTCTCTCCTCTTTTACTTTTTCATTCACACATTTAATTATGGAATAATGCAAAATAAAAAACATATTACCATCTCTCTGTGGCCTGGCCAGGTGTTTGCTCTGTTGTCCAGGGAATCGGCACATAAGCTGTTGATCTTGGCCGGTCAGAGCGTGGAGGACAGCGGTGACCTGCTGTTTCACAGAGGACTGCTCTCACCACACCAACTGAAAGAAATAATAACAGGCCAGGTACGACAAAGTCTCTCTGACTTTTATCTCTCTGCAAATAAATGTTCAGATGCTACTATAGCTGGCTATACTATTTTGCCTGGTGATATCAGTCTGGCTAATTTATCAGTTGGCCTCTGCTCTAAAATGTGCTCTATCTTTAGTTCATAGATCAAGGGAGCTCTGCCTCCTCCTCCAAACTCAGCCTGACCCTCAGCTGTCCCAACATCGGCCAGTGGAGGAATACCCTCTTGGGAAACCAGCCTCTGCAGGGTCCTTTCACGCTGCACATCAACCCCCCAGAGGTGCTGCCTGCCATGGAGGCTCTGGGGGAATTCACCTCCCTCATCTCTGGCACCCTTTCCCCTCCATCTCCCTTCGACCTCCTGCCTCCCCCCACCACTGTTGGTTTTCTCAAGCTGTCCCGCCCCTGCTGCTATGTGTTCCCTGCCGGCCGCGGTGACTGTGCCTTTTTCGCCGTCAACGGGTTCACTGTGCTGGTGGACGGCGGCTCGGACTCTCAGGCCTGTTTCTGGAAGCTGGTCCGCCACCTTGACCGAGTCGATGCAGTTTTGTTGACGCACATTGGGACAGAGAACCTCCCCGGGGTCAACATATTCCTGGAGAGGAAGGTGGCTGAGTTGGAGCTGAGCTATGATATCAAAGGTAAGAAGTCACTTTTATTCATACAGCCCAAAATCACAAATTTGGCTCAAAGGGCTTTTGAATCTGTTCAGCATTTATCTTTAGACCCTTGGTTCAAAAAGAAAGCAATGAAGGAGGGATCCCGCTTTCAAGAAACAGGGTGGTGATGTTGCTGCTCTCCCTGCTGGAAGATGAAATAATAAAGAAGTGTTGTTAGGACACTGAGGTTTCCCTTTAGTCCTCTTTAACTGTTTCATGTTCAAATGTCGTTTTTGTTTGTGTCTTTCTCTTCTTTTATCTGAACAGATGACTCATCTAAGAGGCTCATCTCCCCCGAGCTTGGAGTTGTGTTCTTTAATGCCCCCAACAGGTTGCAGGTGGAGGAACAGCCTTGTAAGTGATGCATTGTAGGTTCAGTGTGAAGGATTTTGGGGGAAATACAGACAGAAATTAAAGACAATAATTACATTTTCTTTAGGGTATAATCACCTGAAAATAAGAATTGTGTTTTTGTTACGTTAGGGTGCTGTTTGGTTCGGTTTAATCAAACTCAAGTTCGTTTGGTTCATTTGGGCAGGTGTGAACACAGCAATCACACTCGGGTGCGCACCAAAACAACCGGACCAAGACCTTCTTGAAGAGGTGGTCTCAGTTCGGTTACAAACGAACTCTGGTGTGGTTCGTTTGTGGTGAGAACGTGTTCCGACCTGGATCTGAACCAACTGCAGTCACATGACACATTGTTTGGGTTAAACATGTTACAGTCCTGGAGGATTATTAATGTGCACCTCCTCCTGTACTGCCTTAATATGCACATTCAGCACATCCAATGCATCATAACATTGTTTTCTAGTTGGAGCCGCGCCTCGTTTTCAAACTGTATGGTTTGACTAAAATGAACAATGACAGCAATATAGTCCACGATGAGCAGCGCTAAAATCAACCTGCGTAGTTGTCCCTCCATTGTGACATTAGAAAGTGTCACATTTATCTTGCAAGTGTACTCTTCTTCAACGTTTTGTTCACTTCCTGGATTTTTCCCACATGGAAATTCTGACCAATCAAGAGCAGCTTTCTCAGGCAAGGCATTTGATCTGGTCCGCTAGTAAATGCTGCCGTGAGAACACAAACCAACTCTAGGCAATAATGCAGCTTTGTAACAAAATTAGTCCCTGATTCGGACCAAAGCAAGACAACTCTAGGTCTGAAAGCACCCTGAGAATAAGCCGTTAATATCTACACAGGGAGTGGGGCCTTGTTTATGGAGATTCCTATACTCATGTTTCTACAGTAGCTCGTAACAGACAAACCAAACCATGGCTCTAGGTAGGGGCATTTGCAATTTCGCGTCAGCCACCGTAGTTAACAGCCCCTCCGTGTCAAGAGCATCAGAATTATACAGATTTTTCCATGTGAAATGTTTTATTTAATGTGTTTAACCAGTTAAAATCACAGAGTCCATTTGTTTTGGAGAGGAAGAGACTTCTGCGGATAATTCAGCTCTCATTATAAAAGCCTCCTGACCTATGAACACTGAAGGAATTCTAACCAGGAAAATTTTCATCTGGTTGCAATCTGCAATCCTCACCACTAGATGTCACAACATTCCCTTAAATTTTACACACTGTTCCTTTAAAACCTCCTGAAATAATTTCTAATATGAGTGATTGATATCAAGTAACTTTATCATTCTTCTCATGTCAGGTGTGGACAATGTACTGAAGAGCACACACCAGGCGGCCCTAACCCTACAGCTGTTAAAGAAGTTAGACATCCGACCACAGCCAATGTTTCGACCTCAAGGGGTCCCTATTGAACCGCTAACCCTGTTCCAGAAGATGGGAGTGGGGCAGCTGGATTTATACATCCTCAACCCTGGCAAGAACAGCCAAGAGTACCACACATTCATGCAAAATTGGCCTGATGCAGTGTCCTCAGCATCCAAATCCCAAACTCTCCCTCTCAATGCGCTGGCATCAGTTGCTGCCCTGCTCGTGTGGCACCCAGCGTGTCCCCAGGAGAAGGTGGTCAGGGTGCTTTTCCCTGGCATTACCCCACAGGCAAAGCTACTGCAGGGGCTGGAGAAGCTGAAGGGGCTGGCCTTCCTCCAGAAACCCACAGTGACCACGGGGGATATGGAGAGGCTGGGCGAGGAGAAAAAGACCAAGAGGACAGAAAGCCAGGACAGCGCCAGGTCACAAGGGAAGGAGTCAACACCCAAACATGGAAAGGAGCGGGGAGTTAAAGAAGAGGGAAAAGAGGTGCTGGTTAGGGAAAAAGGAAAAATATTTAATGGAGTCGCTACAAGAGATGTTGATAAAACCAGAGTCAAAGAGACAGGTGTAAAGCAAAAAGCAGCATCGTCAGAGAAGAATACATCGAAGAAAGGAGGAGGGAAGGATGGGAAAAAGGAGGCTGGAAACAAAGAGGAGAACAGTGTTATGAGGAATGATCAGGGTAAAAAGGACGTTCTCCCTTCCAAACCAAAGACTGAAAATAAAACTAAGCTCAAAAAGGAAGCAAAAAATGACTCGAAAACAGGGACGAAGAAAACAAAAAAACCATCAGGAAAGGAGGCGAATAATGGTAAGAAGGTAAACACTGAACTGTCTACCAAACCCGATGATGGGAGTGGGTTAGAAAACCCAGAGGCAGGGGGTCTTGATGCAGAGCAGCAGAATCAAAAACCAGAGAAAGAGTCTGAAGAGAACCCCTGTGGCTCCAAAATGTCCACCCCTGAGGATATGACAGCTGATTTTCTCATGCTCCGGGAGGAAAGTGAAAGAGGAGAGGCGCAGGTGGAAACAGCAGATAAAGGGAAGCTGAACAGCAATGAGCCAGGAAATGAAAAGAGCCTTGGGGGTATGAGTGAGGAGAAGTGTAATGAAGCTGCTTATACCCTCGAGGAAGATGCAGCAGGTGGTGCAGGGTTAATGGGAGGAGAGAGTGGTGATAATGGAGTGCAAGATAAGGCTTGGACTGAAGAGAAAGCAAATGTGGAGCTGCAGAAAGAACCTGTAGACCAGCCTGGAAATGCTGCCAAAGCAGCAAAGGTTGTAGGATTTCCATCTCCCCTGAACAAGGCGCCAAAGAGCGAGCGCACAGTCCAGCTTGACTTAACCCCGACGGAATACACTCTCCTTGACGGGGCTTTGAGAAACAGCCCTCCCTCGAGATCCTCTCCAGAGAACCAGGCCCCCGTCAGCCCAGACGAGGAGACCGTAGAGCCTGCCTCCCCGGATTCACGGCCCAACAGCGCAGGCCACACTCCTTACTGTCTGTCCCCAGATGATGTGTGGTGCAACAGGGCCACTCTGAGCAGGTTACAGGCCCAGATGGGTAACATGGACTCCGCTGATGTCAGCCAGCCAAATGGATCATCCAAGCAAAGCGAGGGGCAGCCCAAAAGCACTCCAGAGAGCCACACACAGCCCAGAGAGCGGCAACTAAGTTTCCTGTCTTTGGGTACATTTAGAGAGGGATCTTCAGACCCCTCTCCCTCTCTCACCACCACCACCACGACACACTCCATGCCAGCGGAGGTGAGCTCTCCTCAGTCCACAGAAGTCGATGAATCACTGTCCATGTCCTTGGAGCAAGGACCGACCACTGTGAGCCAGAGAGAGGGGGATGACAGTGTTCATACCTCCAATGGAGGCCATTTTGCTGGGATGTCTTTACCACTGAAGAAGCCTCCCAGATCTTTAGGGCAGGGCTCAGAGATGGGGCGGCCTCCAGCGCCTACCACGCTTCATTTTGAGGTGTCAGCTCACGACGTGGATCTATGTCTGGTGTCGCCCTGCGAGTTCAAGCACCTCAAACAGCTTGACTCCGGCTCAGGTGCGAGCGAGCCCTCCAGGGGAGCCTTTGCTGTGCATCAACACGGCAACAACAACAACAACCCCAAGGACACGTCACCAAGTGAGTCAAACGCCCCCATGTGCACGGAGGACTGCCCGTCCACCACAGCAGATGGAGTTCTGGACTCAGATGAGGATGAGTCGTGTAGTGAGCCATCCAACTCTCCACACGATCTCCGGTCCAGTCAGGTGCTGCCCCCGGACCCTCTTCCAGCTCCTCTCAGGGACAGTCCACCCCTGCCCCCACATCCTGACGCATCCATGCCTGTTCCTCAGACTGACGCTGACGCTCACGGGAAGAAAGCAAAAGCAACCGGCATGCGAGGGAAGAAAACTCTAGCGGTGAGTTTGTCTTATTCGCAAAGAAGAAAAGGATGTTTGTGTTATTTGGTGCATGAGTTCATTTATGGATTTGGGCTACATTTTTTGCTTAATCTTTATATATTTTTTTTGTGGCTGCCATCAGTTATAAAGGTGTAACATTGGGTGTTTTGAGGGATTGTTTTAGCTCTGATTTCAGAGTAGGTACTCTCCCAGCAGAGGAGGAGCCATGAGTGATGTAAGTGTGTGGTGACTGATCCACATGTCATAAGTGTACGTTGATTGGTTGAAGACAGCCAGTGCAGCACCAGCAACTGCCATTTTCATTATCTGTGTAAAAAACAAACCCAGGAAAGTTTTTGACTCGTCAAAGCTAAAGTGATAGTGCTATACCAACCGCTGGCTGGCTTTCAATATATCACATCAGACATACATTGGCAGAGAGAATGTAAACAGGAAAGTATGTAGTTCTCAGTTTTGGGGGGGGGGGGGGTCCAAAAACGCCTATTGTCACCTCCTTATATTTTAATTCATAGTTTGTGGTGAATTTTGACTCACAGATTTGCTAAGTTATTATAATTTTGAGCATTACCATTATTGCTTACTATGTCTGGAGTGAAACTGTCATTGAACCTTACATATGTGTATTTTACTTTTTGTGTTCCCAGGTTATTGAGGCCTCCCAAAAATCAGGCTCAGGGAAAAGCAGGACAGGGGGCCAGACTGGAGTTGCAAAGGGGAATGTGTCTTCTACTCGTACACCGTCCTCCAGCACGCGCTCTGCACCAGCAAAATCCTCACCCACTCCAGGCATGAGGCATAAATGATATAAATACTGTAGATTTCTCTGATAGATTTCCTTATCCCTCTTTTTGTTCATTTTCTCCTCTCCGTCCTGTCACAGGCTCTAAGTCTACCTCTGCTGGTGAAGTCAGTGTGTACGTGGACCTGGCCTATATTCCCTCTGGAGCCTCCACTCCAACAGTCAGCGTGGACTTCTTCAGATGCATTCGCTCCTCCTGTTACATCATCAGCGGAGACAGTCCAGAGAAAGAGGAGCTGATGAGGCAGACGCTGGACGCACTACTGGATGCCAAGATGACCTGGACGGACACTATGCAGGTAGAAAAACACACAATGAGGTTCATGCATATTGAAAGATATTACGTGATGTTGGTGGTTGCCCTCCTGAAGAGAGAGCTGAGCGGTAAAAACTAATCTCTGGGAACCTATTATGCTTTTCCATATTTTGTGACTTATATAGTGTTACAATGAAGGATTGCCAAAATTTGACATAAAGAGGTTATCCTCTGGCTTTTCTACTCTGGCTACAGTATGACATCATAGTGTGCCGGATTTCTTTATATGGTCATCTGCTCCAGGTTGCAACTGTAAGTGTTTACTTTACGTAGCCTACACTGCTACATGTAGCTACATGCTAACGTCAGACTGTAAATGTGGATGCTAATGTTGTAAATTTCTCCGGATTTCGGATCATATTCCTGCTGAAACATGTCCTGATGTGTTAAGAAGCTTTGGTGATTTTTCACGGTACAAAGTGCTGCTATCCTCAGTTACAGTCATTCCTTGGCTACAGTGACGGTGCAGAGACACAGAGACACGGAAGACTCTCAAACACTGACTAATCGAAGCTGACTTGGGCATTTTTGGGGAGAAAGGGCTAAAAAAGACAGGTGCTACATAGTATGGAGTTAGATTTGTGTCTTTATTACATGTGAGAAAATAAATGATATGAGAGAAAAAAAAATTTGAGAAAAAACATTTTTTTACACTGATAGCAAAAAATAATATTTGAGACTAAAAAAAGTTTTGAGAGAAAGTATTTTGTTATAGAATATAAAAAAATAATAATTTGAGATTTAAAAAATGATTTCCGAGAAAAAAAACTCTCTCTCAAAAAACTTTTTTTTTACTCTCCAATATTATTTTTTTTGCTATCAGTGTGAAAACATTTTCTCTAAAAAAATGTTTCTCTCAAAACATTTTTCTTCTCTCTCTCAAAACCTAAACCTAAGTCTTTGCTCTCGTGTCAGGATTTTGCTTTCGCTGCGAAAATAATGTCATGGGCGGGGCCATGTTCCTATTGGCCAGTCTCAATCGAATTGACAGCTGGGTGAGGATCGTCTTGGGAGTTGAATTCAACTGAATCATTCATCATCTGTGTCATCATCTTACCCAAACATTGCGCATCTATGCCGGTGAATCGACCATGGTGGATGAATGATTCAGTTGAATTCGACTCCCAAGACAATCCTCATCCAGCTGTCAAAAGAAGAAAAATGTTTTGAGAGAAACAATTTTTTTTGAGAGAAAATGTTTTCACACTGATAGCAAAAAAATAATATTTGAGAGTGAAAATAAAGTTTTTGAGAGAGTTTTTTTTCTCGGAAATCATTTTTTAAATCTCAAATTATTATTTTTTTTTTACATTCTATGACAAAATACTTTCTCTCAAAACTTTTTTTAGTCTCAAATATTATTTTTTGCTATCAGTGTAAAAAACGTTTTTTCTCAAATATTTTTTTTTCTCTCTTATCATTTATTTTCTCACATGTAATAAAGACACAAATCTAACTCCATACATAGAGCTCTCTGTTGTAAGAACCAACGAAAGTGGTTCAACATGAAAAACGCACTAGTACACACAAAAAACCACAACAGCTACAGGAAGCTCCTCCCATTCACAGCTCTCTGCTGCAGACGAGTGCATTGCTTGCATCATCAGAGACACCTCTGTCAGTTTGCCCTGAGCCTCATTCTGTGTCACTGTTGTGAAATTAAACCACTATTAAAACATCTTCATGCAGGCAGTCTAATGTAGGCAATTACCCACCATTAAGTTTAACAACAAGTAAGACAGTCTGGTAAAGCCACACCATCTCCCTCCAACTCTCGGCCAGATTCAGGTTCACCAGCTGCCCCTGCTTTCCCATGTCCACAAGTCTTATCAAGCCAAAACTGTATTTGAAATAATGTTTACGTCTCCCATGTCGTATCTCTGATAATTTCTCTCTCTCAAAACAAAAATGACGTGCAGTTAGGGGCTGCGGTGTGTAAAGAGGGCAGAGGAGGAGAGGAGGAGCGCGCTGCTTTATTTTCTTTATTTAGAGAACAGCGTTTTCCAGTTTTGTGTCAAGTTGATTTAAACAACTCGTGCAAGTTTTTAAGAACCCTAATCTGAAGCTAAATGCCAACTAATTTATCTAAATGTGTTATATATGTTTTTTTGTCTTGGTTAACATGACAATGAGCTCAAATTATAAGTCCATCTTTTTAGAGACACAGATTAAAGAGACTCACTGTTGCACAATAGGTGTACTGTAATGTTCTGTATGTCTATGTACTGTAACAGAAGCTAACCTAGAAGACGTGTGGTGCTGCAGCTCTCTTCATATGTTCAATTTATAACAGCTATTCTGCTGACTGAAAGCCCTGATTGACCTGTGGTTCTATACTTCTTCTGCCTTCATATATTATATATTTGCCTCCTGTATGTGACTGGGAGTGAGGTGACAAGAGCAGGAGAAAACATCTGAGGGCCTCTGGTGGAAAGGAAAAGAATGGCAATGAACAGATTTGAGGAAGTGGAAATGTGGCCAAAGAGAGGACAGGGAGACAGAGTGTGATACTAGACCCCTTCTGACAGTGTAAAGATGATGATAGAGGACTAATGGTGGACATGTAGGCACTGATTTAATTAAACTGAATTCATTGTCAGTTATAACACCTTTATTGGGTTTATGATCTAAAGCAGGGTCATGCAAATGTGATCAGCCCGTTTTTACGTCATAATGTCCACTATAAATTGTTAAAACAATGGGGAGGTGTGTGATTGTGTTCATGTGGCTCGACTCCTGGCTACATTAGCCGTTAGCTTGGAGAAAACTATCCCTATGAAAGTGCATCGCCGAGAAGAAATGATTTGAATCACTCAGGGATTGGGGTTTCGTCGTTCATCGAGTAATTCGTTCACCGGGTGATTATCACGTGGTAGGCAGTCCCTCCCTGCACCCTGGCTGCCTCGCGCGACTCACGAGTAATTCATCATTCGCACGGACTGAATCGGCAGTTCCACTCCCGGCCTGCACGCTCGCTGCTGAGCTCAACTGAACTGAGAAATGAACGAATCAATTCTGAAAGTGATTCAGTTCAGTATGTTGATTCAACAGATTCATTCTTTTGAACGATTCGTTCGCGAATGACACAACACTACTAACAAGAAAGTTTCCATTTCGCATGCAGTGGAAATGCTTTACAACTGGCTACATGGTTCTTTGAATTACTCCGGCACGCAAAAGTTTGGGCACCCCAAAAAATTCATTTACCATGAATAGTTAAATAAGTAGAAGATGAATGATCTCCAAAAGGCATTAAGTTATTTTTTAAAGCAAAGTATTATTGTTTTGTACAATGTTTTTTTTTTTTTTTTTTAAGAATATTTGTGTTGCATTTTTAAAAATAAGGGAGCAATGAAAAAAGAATTAATAGAAAAAAATATAAATAGAAATAAAAAATAGTGGGCATTACATCCATCCCCAACCTTCATCACCTCCTACAGCCATATAAAAGGCAGCGAACATACAAACAGACTAACAAATAGACATCGAAAGTTACAGACTTTGTCACTACAGCCGCGGATACTGATCCACTTACTTATCCACCTTTCCCCAGGTGACAGTGATCCCTACCTTTGAGTCGGTGCAGATGCAGGAGTGGTACCAGCAGACCCTGGACAGACAGAAGGAGCAGGGCATCACCGTGCTGGGTTCCAACAGCACTGTCGCCATGCAGGACGAGACCTTTCCTGCCTGCAAGATAGAGTTTTGAGGCGGACTTATGGATGCAGCGATGGAAGATGGAGGGTGAATATGACATGTAACAGTGTACAAGGAGAGATAACAAGAAACAGAAATTTGAGAATATGAAGAGAATCCACTTTCTGCATGAATACAACTGACTGGGTAATGACATGGGATGAACACGCCATCCCCTTTTGGTTTATCACTTCTTTGTGGGCTACTTTTGCACCAGAAAGCCCTTATTTCTCTTTATCCAAGGAGAGAACACATTCCTATTGGGGAGTATTGCATGATTATTTTTTCCGCAGACCCATGACCCTGTGCAAAACAGGAGAGGAAATCACACTGGCTGCAAGAGAAGCATGTTGCGCTGCAAACATGTGGATCCACATGAGAGCTGACACTGTAGATTAGGCGATGTAGTTAGCATACATGGGGTTAAAGGCACTGTGTGTAGGCTTGTTTTCTTAATGCATTCAGCACTGAAGTGTGATAGTAGTGTGTGCTATGTTCAAGGGCCCATTTTGCTGCTTTTAATGTTACATTTACTAATCGACATTACTGCTCCAGATACTCCCAAATGGCAGGAGTGTGTAAACTTTTGTTTGTGAAAGCATCGGTCACATTTCTTTTATTTACTAATATTATATTTGTCTGATTATTGCAGGAGATGTTTATATCGTAAAAAGAGAGTCATACGTTGTACCTTAAATGAAATCGCATTCACAGTGTGTGGTCAGGTGTTTGTTGTGAGCACTGTAAGCAGACATGAACTGTGCTGCTTGTCGTACCTACGTTGACCTTGAGATATCTGCCCAGCAAACGGACCAGCGTGGTGTGTCTGATGCAGAGCGATAATCTGAGATTAATGAATCTGAGTGTGCATAACAGACCAGTCAACAGAGATTAGAGCACCAGATTAAATTTAATAGCATTACAGCAACCATCTCATTAAGAATGGGGCTGTAATTGTAATCCAGTATAAGTGCTTAAAAGCATACTGATTAGGAATCAGACGGCAAAAGCTTTTGTAGAAATAGATGTTCACTTGTTATCTTACTAAAAATGAAAAAAAAAAAAAACATTAAAGGGACAGTTCAGATTTTTTAAAGTGGGGTTGTATGGGGTTCTTATCCATAGCCGGTGTATTACATACAGTAGATGTCTGTCGGTATGCGCCCAGTTTGGAGAAGCAGGCTGGAGTCTGACGCAGGAGCGAAGCAATGTACTGCTGTGAATGGGGGCCAGCATTAAAATGTATTTAGAAAGTACCACCTAAAAAAAACATATATATCAGTTGAAATGTATGTTATATTGAGAGCATTTTCACAGCTTCACCTTGCCGTCAGACAGCCCTTTTCGACATGCTCTCCTCAAAGCCACCAGACTCCATTGAGAAAAAGAGTAATTTTAGCCTCGCTGAACACTGGAGCTGCTGGTCTATCACTACCTTAATCACAATAACGTTGTGTTTATTGTGTGACTTTGGTGAATCTGAACCAACCCTTTCAAATGACAAAGTCACAAAATAAAACCAACAAACTAACTGATAGAAGCAGCTGTAGACCAGCAGCTCCTGTGTTCAGCGATGTTAAATTGCTGTTTTTCTCAATGGAGTCTGGCTCTTAAAATGGTGATATAATGGCTTCATTTTCCCGCTGGAAATCACTGTCTGACATTAAGGTAAAGCAGGTAAATACTCTCAATGTAGCATACAATTAAACTGATAGGGATACATTTTGTTGCTGCCCCCTCCACAGTAGTAGAATAATTAGCGTCCATGTTGAACTCCAGCCTGCTTCTCCAAACTGGGGCATACCAACTGACATCTACTGTATATAATATACTATCTATGGATAAGTTCTCCATACAACCCCATTTCAAAAATGTGAACTAACCTTTGAAAAGCAATGACATGTATTTTGATTGTGAATATGATGGATATGATCATATAGTTTATTGTAGACAAATATTTTGCACAGCATAAAATCAGCCCAGTCGCCAGAATAAAATGTTGGCATTGTATGTTTCTGCAAACCATGGATATGTTACATTTGTATATTTTGTACAAATGACGTAGTTCTGATTACATTTACATTAGCTAAGTTTCTCATTAGGAGGTATAGGGGATGGTGGAAAATGTGAGACCTTGCAAGCAGTTGGGGAAATGTCCTGACTTGGACGTGGGTATTTTGAATCCAGACATGTTTTCCTAACCCTAACCAAGTGGTTTTTGTACCTCGTCATAGCCACACATAAACCACAGTGTCGTCACAACAGAAAATTTAAAATTGAAACTTACAGAAAGTTCGAACATACACTCTACCTATGAAACATACAGATGTACAACCCTGAGTCCAAAAAAGTTGGGATGCTGTGTAAAAGGTAAATAAGAACATAATGCACCAACTCTTTGAAACCTGTTGCAGGAATCAAATTCAAAATGGGTGTAAATTTACAAAGAACAATAAAGTTTATCAGTTTGAGCATTAAATTTATTTTATATACTTAACAGAATATAGACTGAAAATGATTCGATGTGGTTTGCAGAAATGTACAATGCCAAAATGTACTTTGGTGCCTTGGTTGCATAAAATCAGGCTTTAGTCACAGTGGATGGTAACGACAGCTTTCCTAGTTGTAGTTTGTAAATATAAATGAATTAAAAATCAAATTTAATTTATATTTGGAACAATAATCCTGAAAGGGAAACTGAAATTACTGAATTGTTGTGATTAAATCGACTACAGTACTAATACTTTATTTTATGGGTCCATAATTTAGTTAAATGTATAATATATGAAGTTATATATAAATAATTTGGTACTACTTTTTGATTATTCTAATTAATTCCCAGGATAACAGCACACAGTTTGACATATATGATGAGGACGTGGGCAGTTCTTTCCTGGTATTATACAACTGCGTACAACTAACTAACTCGACTGTATTGTCCGTGTAATTATTACCAACTTAAATGTTTTTCCTAGACTTCCAGGAAATGATGAGGACATTACAAAAAATAAAGTACACATGTGTAATGTAATAGATTACATTGTAATCTCTCCAGATCTGTTTATCCATAATTGTTTTCCTTTTTATTTCCTTTTGTCCCAGTCTAGATGTCCAAGAACGGATGTTCAGATTCTGGTGGGATGTAAATCATCCCATCGTGACTGATTATCTCTGTCTTCAGAGGATTAGTTCACGCAAATGTGAATGTGACGTACAGACTTTCCTAAAAACCAAAGCATGACATCACCAAGACACCACCTACTATTTTCCCCTTCGTTCGAATGCTGCCTCAAAATACAGGAAAAAGATTCAGCATCTCTAAATTACTTGTAAAACATTTTGTAATTAAATAAATGCACATTTGTTTTATTTTGTGCTCTTTTCTTTTAATCACACTCTTGAGCAAAAGGCCACCAGATTAAATGATTTATTGGCCTCGGATGGGTCGAACTAGATCTGTAACCATGGGTAAAAATGACTTGAACCCCACAGTAGCCAAGTGAATTGTAACTATGTGTATGTGTCCCGCATGTATAAAATACTGTACGTACTGTATGTTGTTTCATTCATGATATTCATGAAGACAGAGAGCAAAGCACTGTGGGAGAGCGGGATGAACATGGAGAACCTTTCACTTTGTAATTGTCTGTAAGTACATACAGTAACAATGTCAAAATGTGTGGGTTGTATGAATAAAGAATGTGCATCACCATTCAGAAGCGTTGTGGAAGTGCAGATTCCTCAGGAGAGCCGCCTTGTGGGCGTGGAATGAAATTATGCATGTATTGCACCTAAAACAAGTTGAGCACAAACATTTCTTTAACATTTGCTGCTCTGCAATGGATTTACAGTTTAATTCCACCAAAACATACTCTATTACATTTGCCAAAACAACACAGTGGAGAGTGGAGAGTAACTAAGTACTGCACTTAGGTAGAGTTTTTAGATACATTATCCTCCTGAGACCCTTTGTTCTTATATGAGGACATCACATTTTGGGTTTGCTGCACCTTATACTCCATTATGCTTAACATTAGTCTGGGGCCGTTTAGGTAAGGAACCAGAACCAGGGCAAGAGAGACAGGATCCGGAATTCGATGGATGCGCCTTTCCATCAAAATAAAAAGCACCAAGCTAATAAAAATGCGGTGAAACTTTTTAATTTAAAGAATATAATTTACAAGAAAAGCCCCAAGCCATTAAGTTAACCTTTTTCTTTTATTGTAAATCGATGGTGCGCCAGAATTTAAAGTTTTACTTTGGTGAACACTTTTACTTTGGTGAATCCTGATCCGCTCTCTAGACCGGAACCAGAATCCAGACAAAATTCAGAGTGAATGGAAACCAGGCTCTTCGCCGTACTTGAAGAGCCTGGTGACACGAGGCTAGCTTAACATAGACCTGTTTGTCCTCGATCATGGACACTTTTTTGTGCCATCTAGTGGTGGTAAGTGCACAATACACTAATCCATGTAAAAACAAGATGGCTGCCATCTCTGCCAAGTCAGTCTGCAGCTGATCCCGACACAAAAGTAGACAAGGTCCAAAACCTGAATGAACTTTAAGGTTGAAACTTGTTTATTCATGATTAATGATGTTTGCAGTTTGATATGGCAACACATTTGACAAATTTTAGCTGTAGTAACAAGCTGAGACGCTGTTAATTAGGAAATATTTGTTTGAAGATATTGGGTCTTTATTATTGCAGCATTTCACACAGGCCAATCAGGTGTGACAGACTTACAGACAAAAGGACATTCCTAGCTTGGAGTTTGGAGCAAGACACTTGTGGCTATTTAATTAAACCCAATGCCCCCATATGAGGACACCATTTAATTCAAAAACTACTTCCTGTTCAAAGACAATGCTTAGTTTTTTATACTTATCAGATCTCACTGACCCCAGATAGCTAGGAGAAATTGAAAATGCATACCGAAGAAAAGTTCAGGTCTTTGGAGGAGGTTATACTTCTACTCTACTAGTTGCTATACTTTTCAGATCAATACTTTATACATAAAACTTTGTAACTGTTATAAACGACCTCACAGCCTGGGACAATGTTGTATTCAAGACAACCAAAACCGAAACTAAATCATGCTTGGGTTAAAAGCAAGTCAGGAATGAGGCAGGGCGAGTTCGAGTCAAAACAAGACCAGTTTCCCACACTGCACTTAATATAAAATGTAGAACATGCAAACGTTAGCCACTCTTTAAACTCCTCTGAAAGGTCCACAGTAAGCTTTGTACATCACATGACTTGACATTATAAAACTGAACACTTTCATTTTTACTGGATCCTCAAGGGAGAAGCACACATCAGCTGAAGCACAGGGACCTGCTGCATTTTAACACCACACTTCTACCACTGCTGGTGAGTTTAAAACCTTAAATGCATCAAATGTATTCAGATAAAACACATCTGTGTTGGTGGTCCAGTTTTAGTTTGGTGGGGTTTTGTTTGGTTGATAAGAAATTAAAGCTACTTTCGTTTTCTGTTTGATGCCTTTTCCATCTTTCCCTCGTGGGGTGTGGACAGAAATTGCATTAATATTTACATGATATGAAGCAATGTGAGATTATAGAGAGCTTGTTCCTTTTCTGCTTTATTAACATACGCATCCCGGTGAAAATGAAACTTCCCAACTGAAAGAGGACAGACACTTTCAGATTCATTTTTGACAACCTGGCAGCCCAACGTCCGTCACTGTCCATTCATAAAACACCTCTAAAGCATAAAACCATGAGGTGCAATAAAAAAAAGGCTTGTGAAAATCGCATAGGCTACAGGCGCATGTTCTCTTGACCTGTTAAATTCAGTATAACAGCCTAAAGTACTGTAGGCTTATATGATTTTCATATATTTCACATGCGAAAGTACATTTACTCAACTAACATTACTGTAGCCTACTTAAGTTGTATTTTATTTAAGTATTTCTTTTTCTACCACTGAAAACTCATACTTTGGCCAACAGCACTGATGAGGACTTGCAACTATATGTATTCACCATGTGTTACATGCATGAAAGAGAATGGTTTTAATTGCATGCCACAGGTGGACGAAGAATCCAAAAACGGAGAAAATCCGTCATGGACTGAAGCCACATTAACAACAGCGAAACTACATCAAAACAACCTTTTACAAACTCTCTCGAAACTCCAGTACCTGCCATGCATTTTTGGAAAACATTAGGATATGCGGCTGTGCATGAGACTATTGTACTGACTGTACTTTAGAGAAATGGGTTAGAAATTCAGCCGCAAAAAAGGTTCCCCTTCTGAAAACAAATTTAAAATGTTTCCTGATCGTCTAACCAAAAGATATCAACATAGTTACAGGTGATTTTACTGAAGAGTACATTCCTTATTCTAATTCTGTACATTTCTGTGCCAGTGTTAGCCAACTGGCTAATTTTCAACTGCACTAAATTAACAGGACAAAGACATAAAGACAGCATTAATTACAGCGAACACAAATTCGCAGGATAGAACAAAAGCCATGCAAAGCAACAAGCAACAGAGCATCACTACAATACAATAACGCACCAGCAACAAACAGCATGTTAGCACAAACAGACACTCAAGCAACACGAAGCACCAACACACAGATTAGCCTTACATTCAGATATGTAGAGCAGTCAGAGCAGCCTTTATAAAATGCTTAAACATGCAGTTACAGGTTAGCAATGTGGTCATGTGCACTAACACACACGTCGTGCAACACAAAGTTAGCCATGCTGTTAATTATATAGATACTGCATACATATCCATGCAGAGTTGGCTGCCTGGCAACGGGCAAAGGACATAGAGCATGTTAGCGGCATGTTAGCCAGTAATAACAACAACAACAACAGTATTTCAGTGAGGAGCAATGTACTGTGTTGATCAGAAAAGTTTACATCTGATTGTCCAAAAACCAGGGGCTCTCCGAGACCTCCCAACTTAGCCTAAAAACTTTCAATAAGGAGTTCTAGCTTAGGAGTGATTTTGGGAAGTTCTCAAAGCAAGTCCAAGTGAACCCTGGTGCGCTTCACGTAGGGCATATTCACACCATGATAGTCAAGGGGACTCTGTTTGATTGGGCGGGGAATACCAAAAAATTTCACACCTTCATTTGGTTCGGTTCACTTTCACACTGCACTTTTTAAAGCGGACCAAACCGCCTGGACAACGTCACAGTTACAACAGCTGCTCCTTTGGGGGTAGTATTGCCCAAAACGACCACTAACCAGGAAGAAAAAAAGCATCAGGAAGAAGAAAACCCGGCTCAATGATTTGGCCAGGACCAAAACCGGAAATCCATCCCCTCCAGTCGGCTTGATAACTGCGATATATATAGTCCTCTGACCATATATCAATAAGCACCTGCACCTCCTTACTACTCCACGTCTTTTCAACTTTCTCTTTTACCTCTGCTTCTCCCAGTTAGTGCTGTTGACTTTGTTTTTTTTTCCTACCCAAAATGCACTGCGCTCTACGTCACTTCCTCTCTTTGGTTCCATGGATAGTCCGTTTGCATTACTCACTGTAAGCAAACCGCACCAGGGTTCACTTGCAAGTGAACCGAGACCCCCAGTTTTCAAGCAGACCAGCATTCGCTCGTTTGGTACACAAGAGTTTGAATGAGCGTTCACACCACTCCAAACGAACTGAACTATCTGTGGAAGCGGACCAGGGTTTCTATAAAGCGGACCAGACAGCGCCAGCGTGAATGCGTCCATATTATCCCTGCATGATCTAATCTGGAGCATTTCAATAACTCACTGTCAGAATATTTCTCCTACCTCTTTGTCTTTTCACCATTTTCTCCTCTACTTGAGAAACTCTTAATCTTAATCTCTTAGGTGTTTTCACACTTGGTCCTTTTCAGCCGTCTAAAGGCCCATTTATGCTCAACATTAAATACGGATCCGGATATGGATGGAGCCTTCTGTCCGTGCTCCGCGTTCATTTTGTCCGTATTTCTGCACATTTCCATAAAGCTTACGGATACGGGCCAAACGGAGCAGTACCACCGGAAACCGTGGGGCCAGTGTTGCTGTCACTACCCTATACGTAGCTCTAGTGAGACACGAAGAAGAAATAACAATTTATTTTCTCTCATCTGCAGTACTAGAGAAAAGAATTCTCCATCCTCCAGTCATGATGTATTTAACGGCCTCACCGACCACCGCCTCCTACAACGCTGCCTCTGTTTTTGTCTTTTATGCAAGAGGTACATTATCAATATCTCCTCCACAGTCGCCATGTTTGTTTTTGAGTTTGTTGTGGTCATAAACTTTTGACTCTGGGCTGCCCCCTGGTGGATATATTGGTTAACTATGCCAATGCCAATGTAAAGGACGCATGGAAGTATTTGGGCAGTGACAGGAACATCGTTTGAAACGGACGTATACATTTTTGTATGTAAAAAGGGAGCATAAATGGGCCTTAAGCAGACTCCGAGCGGCGACTCAGCATTTTTTGCCCAAATGTGAACACTCTAAGAGAACTCAGGCCCCTCTGAAGCAAACCGAACTCAGACCACCTAATGCGGAACCGAACTCAGACCAACTCCCGAGGTGGTCTGAGTTCGGTTTGTGCAATGTCAACACAAAATGCTCTGGGTCCGCTTTGCCTTTCACTATTGTATTGCAGCCCTCCAGGCTTGCCGTAGACAGATCACACGCGATTTGAGTGGGACGCATTATAAACGCAACGTAACCACGGCCACAG